TCTAATTCAGTTAATGCTGGTATTTCCGACGAATCTGCTGCAGTACATTATGCAGGCATTAATGAAGCCATTAATGAAATTAAACAACTGCGTAGCCGCAAATATCAAGTTTTCCTATCCAAAAACGATGTTAGATCGTCCTTGAGAATCCTTCCAGTTAATCCGACAGATTATGAATTATTAGGTTTTAAATGGAATAATAAGTTCTACTATGATTGTTGCCTCCCAATGGGATGTCGGACCAGTTGTAAAATATTTGAAGAGATCAGTACTGCTTTAGAATGGATACATTGACGAAATTAGGTATCACTTCAATGGTGCATATTTTGGATGATTTTCTGATCATTGAGAAATCGAAAGAGGATGCAATTTCCAAACTCAAGGCGTTCATCAATTTATGTGAAGACTTGGTGGTACCCTTATCAGCAGAAAAGACTGAACTCCCCTCTCAAACTATGGATTTTGTGGGCATAACATTGGACGTAATTAAACAAGAAGCTCGTTTGCCACTGGATAAGATAACAAAATGTCGATATCTTCTGGAAAAGTTCTTACATATGAAATGTTGTACATTAAAAGAACTGCAATCACTTATTGGAGTCTTGAATTTTGCTTGTTCTGTTATTCAACCAGGACGTGCATTTTTGAGAAGGATGATTAATTTAACAATGATTGTATCTGATTCTCAAACTCACGTTTATCTGAATCTGGAGACAAAAGATGACATGAGAATATGGCTTCAGTTTTTAGATTCTTTTAATGGTAAATCAATGTTTTTAAATGAAAGTTTCATGTCAAGTAATACATTGGAACTTCACACTGATGCTGCACAAAGGCTATGCAGGCATATACAGGTCAAAATGGTTTTATGGTCCATTCCCAGAAAACTGGAAAAACATCAATATAATGACCTTGGAGTTTTACCCTATCATCTTAGCAATTGAGTTATGAGGGCCATTGTGGAGAAATCACTCTATACTATTATTCACTGACAATGAAACACTGGTTTCTGTGATTGATAAACAGTCAACATCTGATGGTCAAGCAATGAAAATGGTTAGATACATGGTTTTAAGATGTTTGCAATTTAACATATTATTTAAAGCAAAGCATATACCCGGAAAGAAGAATATTTTTGCAGATTGCCTTTCTCGTTTACAGGTAGAAAAGTTTTTGAAAATAGCCCCAGCTGCTCAACCCAAACCGTGCTTAGTTCCACATCAATTCCAGCCACATAACTTTTGGAGTACGTAACAATCTTAGCAAATGCAGCTCTAGCTCCATCAACTCAAGCTACTTACAGCCGCGCATGGAAAATTTTTGACTCTTTCTGTACAGAAATAATGAACCAAAGTCTTAAGCAACCACTATCTGTAGCTACAATTTCATTGTTCATTGCTACATGTTTAAAAAATCATATGCTCCTAGTACAATTTCAACATAGCTATCCGCCATAGCCTATGTGCACAAAATGATGTCAATGCCTGACAACACTCGGTCGTTTTTAGTTGAAAAATTAGTTACAGGCACATATAGATTATCAAAAACATTTGATAGCCGTCTCCAAATTACAATTCCTATTTTAAACAAGTTGTTACATAGTATAACATTAGTTATCAAGTGTACATATGATCAAGTTTTGTTCAAGGCAATTTTCTTATTTGCTTTTTCAACTTTCTCTAGAGTTGGAGAGTTGGTGACATAAAAAAATGCAACAAATGATAATGTTCTGCTATTGTACGATGTTTCATTGTCTTATGTACAGGGCAAAGCTGCAGAAATTCAGGTTTGCTTCCGAAAATTTAAGCATAACGTAAGTGGAATGCCAAAGACCATTTCGTTTTCACATGGTACCGCATGGAATCAGCAGTCGTAGCTATGGTTGAGTACCTTAAAGTGAGACCCTATTCCGTACCCACAGAACCATTGATGCCACTCCATTACATCGTCCAGACTTTGCCAGAATTTTACATAAATACCTAGCATCTTGTGGTCTGGATAGTTCGAGATACAAAGGACACAGTTTCCGCATAGGAGCAGCAACTGATGTAGCCGAGAGAGGCTTATCCGATTCACAAATACGCTCTATGGGACGTTGGAAGTCTAACACATTTCAAAAATACATAAGATCCCATTTAAATTGATAGGCATTTTTGGTACCTGCTTGGGCCGGTACAATTATTTTTATAGGAATATATACAAATTTTTCAGCACCTCTGCGTTACTTGCTTGGGCTGGTAATTGGCACTCAATACGAATTTTATTTTTGGTAAATCTCCAGTTAGTGTGTCATCATATAATAAACATATCATGTTATGCAATAGCAATTATAAAAGATAAAAGGTTTCAACGCATGAAGCTATGTTATTTTAACAATACTTAACTGCTTGGGCCGTTAAGTTTTCAATGCCAATTGCATGCTATATTTAACTATAATGCATACATTAACATTAATATATAGATGTTTGTTTGTTGCTCTAATATCTATTTAGTTATGCACAATAGATTGTTGTGGAAGTTTTTATTGCCATTATTTGCTTACAAGGACTTTGTCTGTTAACATAACAGTACTTGCTTGGGGCGGTATTGTATTTATACTTGTATGGTTCAATTGGAACTAATTATGATCAGGCATTAAGCTCAAAGCTTTTTTTTCTGCCAAGTGCTTGGCCTTTGTGGGGTAGGTAGGACTTATTTTATTGCATCTTTCCTTGTGGCTTAGTTGACCCCTTTTCTAGGCCAAGCTATTGTATTATGTAATATGTTATGTAATATGTTATTAGTGTTTTTATGTATTTTCATTCATTATTATCGTGTTGTACAGATGTATATATATTGTGTATTTTGATATGAAAGAATTTTTTACGAATAAGTAAAAATTTTGCAATTTACTTTCTAGTTTCTCCATTCATTTATACATTGCCCATACGATATCAAAAAGAACTTTTCGTCAAATTCTGACACTTACATCATATCAGATGGTTTGTTACGGTTGTAGGAAGATAGCATAAAGCCAAGTTATTTTAATAACTTATTTTATGCAGATGACGGAAATCTTTAGTTTTATTCTAATTTAACTTTTGCCTTTCCCTTTGGGGAGCCCCTGCACTAGATCTTGTGTTGCAGTATTTACACTTCACGTCACAGTTTTACACATTCTTGATAATCAACACGATCGATATTTATGTAAACAAGATTTTATTAGGGATTTTATCAATTTTCCCTCCCTCCATCCCCTTTTTTCAACTCCTTTTCTTAACTTAGAAATTTGTTGTTTTGTCTAACTATCACATTTTTGGCTTGGCTTAGTTGATCCCTTTTCTAGGCCAAGCTATTGTATTATGTAATATGTTATATAATATGTTATTAGTGTTTTTATGTATTTTCATTCATTATTATCGTGTTGTACAGAGGTATATATATTGTGTATTTTGATATGAAAGAATTTTTTACGAATAAGTAAAAATTTTGCAATTTACTTTCTAGTTTCTTCATTCATTTATACATTGCCCATACGATATCAAAAAGAACTTTTCGTCGAATTTTGACACTTACATCATATCAGATGGTTTGTTACAGTTGTAGGAAGATAGCAGAAATGTAGTTTATCATGAAGTTGTTGTCACATCAACTTGAAACATAGTTAAACATGTCCATTATGATGTTGACCTTTGCAGTATATATGCAAAATGAGGGTTTTGACCAGAATTTAGCGATATGTTTAATGGACACAGCATATCGTTGTTTAAAATATCTGGAATATTGAAGGAAATTTAATTGTCTTACTTTCATTCTTTGTCGATATAGTTGCATTTCACGCATGTTTCACTGATATTTTAGATATTTCTTTGATGCATATTGGTTAAAAAGTTAAACATATAAACATACAGAACTTAAAGCTCATTCCAAACACCAATTTTTCAGTGTTCCTTATAGTTCTAAGCATGAAAAGGACTACCTATCTTCAAGGATTAAGGTATCTTGCTTAGTCTCAAAGATATACAGATAACTGGAGTATATGTGGCGAATACAGATAGTTTGGAATTTGTTCGCCCAACAACATTTAAAAAAAACTGCTGTTCTCATTGTTTGCCATATTTAGAAGAAAAGTTTTATACCATAACTCTGTAATTTGTTTTCATTGAATCTTTTATCAGTTTTAACATAATTTGTTGCAAATTTATAATCAAAGGAGTCCTTTACGGAAAACACCCCAAACATTGAAGAGTTCCATTTGTAATTGGGATAATTTTGTTCTCACAAGTTTCCTACTGTATTTAAATAAACGATGCGATTGTTTAGCGGTCAAAAATTGTAAAATTGTTTTTTCTAGTAGCGGCAATTTTCCCAATGACTGAAACATTAATAAAAGAAAAGAAAAAAATTACCACCAATGTAAATATATATCAACAGACAGACTATTTATTAAGAAAGTACATTGGCTTTACACATCAACCATATTTTCTATTGTTAAGTCTTTCTTCAAATACATGTGTTGTCCGAATTGTTTGTTCTTTAGATAATTGTTTCATCAAAACCACATTGAAAATCAAACATTTAACATTTTCGTAAAAAGGAAAAAAAATAAAAACAAACAACACCATGCCAAAAAGTCAAACAGAAACTACCAGACAAAAATCTAAAGACTGACCAACACCGAAAACCAAGAACGAAAACTGAAGCTCTGAAAGCGTAATACATATTTGTGTTTGAGATACAATGGATAAGCGTTAGTACGTTAAAAAAATACCATGAGTCCGGAAGTTTAGAATAATAACATCCCACTAGTAATCAATGTATTTTAACTATCAGTAATTATGAGGCAGTGAGCTTTAAACACGATCATTGCTGCAAACCTGTCTGTACTATAACGATGAGAAACAACAATAATTTTGCTTAGCTATATGGTAAATTCCCGGTATAATTAAGGCTTTTTAACTCGTGTATATTTACCTCATACCCCTCCTTTCCACACTATTTGTGAGAACAAGACAACTAGGTAAAAAGTACATAATTTTAATATATCCAATCCTGAGGTTGAAGTCGTGAGTATCATTGAGAAATGTTCTTACTTTCCAAGTCCTGATACGACTGGTCGAGGCATCGGCTAAAAATGAATGAATATACTAGTATACTTGACTAATGAAGTTCAAGACGAATATTTTTGTATGAAACATTTCCGTTTACAGGTTATGCATTTACGAAATGACAATTATTTCTGTGAAATGGCAAAATTGTTGAACATATTTACGTTTGACACAACCCTGACACAAACAGATAGTTATACTGAAAGTATTTTGTAATTATCTACATGTTGACAACGAAATAATTTCTTCTCTATTTTAATATAACCTAAAAGTTCCTAAAAATTGCCTACTTTTGATGAAAATCTGGTACATGTACATATCCCCATATTTCGTTATTTTAATGAAGTTACAGTCAACTTATTTTTTTATAGTCATGCAGTTACTGTTTATGTTTTTCTGAAATCCCTTTTTCAGATTTTTGAAAAATATGTATTTGAATTGAACCCTATAATTTTTTTATTTTCTTCTGATTGATAAGCCCCAAAGAACCAAAATGTACCATTTCCTTTATTCCTTTGTGAATAAATTTATAATTATGATGTGAAATGCTACATATATGAAAATAACTCACGCAATTTTTTGGTGTTTCGAATACAGATGTGGATGCAACACCTGGGGTAATTCCGAAAAACTCAACAGTCATTTGATATCCACCTACAAGAAATAAATATATGTGTAAATTAACAACATATGCCGACGAAAAAGCACTTCCCTGTAAAACTTAATCTGTGGGCAATGAAAACAGTAAAATAACAAAAATACCGAACTCCAAGGAAAATTCAAAACGGAAAGTCCCTTAACAAATGGCAAAATTAAAAGCTCAAACACATTAAACGAATGTAAAACAACTGTCATATTCCTGACTTGGTACACGAATCCCAACAACACCAGGAGTTGAATCAAGTGCTCTAAAAGGGTAAGTATGCTTTACAGTCTTCGAAATAAGGTCAAATTATCAAAACAAATAAAGTTGTATACACATGTGCGATCAATTAGTTTAATAAATTATAATTTGAAATATAAAAGATTACTTTTTGGTTGATATGATTTTAAGTTTTTGTATAAAACGGACATTAGTAAATGGTGCCTTTCCTTGATGATAATAATAATATTTAAAAAATATTTTTTTTATACTTTTGAAAGACAAGTACACGGATAAAATTGAGAATGGAAATGGGGAATGTGTCAAAGAGACAACAACCCGACCATAGAACAGACAACAGCAGAAGGTCACCAAGAGGTCTTCAATGCAGCGAGAAATTCCCGCACCCGGAGGCGTCCTTTAGCTGGCCCCTTAACAAATATATATATACTAGTTCAGTGATAATGAACGCCATACTAAACTCCAAATTGTACACAAGAAACTGAAATTAAAAATAATACAAGACTGACGGATGTTGGTTTACAATGCTTTTCGGTTTGATTACCTATAAGGTAAAGTAAGGTTGTCTATGGTGATAATGCCATATATCTGCTGGGTTTGTCTTGTAGTTTGATAACGATGAACTAGGCATCAACATAAAAAAAATGATCTCGACAGCTGTTTACATATCAAAGCAAATCCGCTCAAGACATGTGTACACAAATTGAGTATAACATAAAAAAAACTAGAATATAAACTTTTTCCCAACTAAACATTATTATAATGTCCTATAATGGCGCTTTAAATAATATTAGTGGCGAATCCTAGGGTTTTTGTCAAGTTAATTATTTACATGAATTAAATTGTCACTTTGATCAAAATACTCAAAGTAGCTCATAACTATTACCTCCATCTTCAGTTGCACCTGTGGCTTCATATGCCAAAGGTATGCATCCATCATCGGACATAGTGGCATAGATAACATTCTGACCCATAGAGAATTTGTACATTGTAGCCATAACCTTTGAACTTCCAGCTCCAAAGTAAGATTGGACTATTTTAGTATGATTCTCTAGAAAAAAAGGTATAATATAAAATAGTGAATATCCTATCATTTAAGAACATTTTGTTTTGAAGATGTTTAGATTAAGTATATTACATTATATACTCATATTTACATTACATATGATCTTGTAAATACAGCAAAATTTCAAATAAAATTTATTAAACAAGAAAAATCATATACATACATGTACATTGAGGGAAAATATATATGTTTCGTAGCGAATACAAATCAATGAAAAAATTCCGACAATACACATTTATTGTTTTATCCTGTGATTTACACCCGACAATTTACGGTTTCTATACTATTAAACGAGAAGACTTCATTTTGTGTGTCGCTTCTCTTCCTTCCACAATAAATGCATCATCATGCCTCTGTGTCCTATATGTACCTTGCATAGTCGCATTTGTCATTCATTCTTATGATTATTCAGTTTGGGTTATTTGGGGAGAAAAATGAAAATAAAGACGTCCGAATATTGTTTCCGTCATCAGACCGACTTTTAAGTCATAGACAAGACTTCCGGTTTTAAACTTACAAATAATTTTCATAAGTCCTTGGGGACAGCCTGTCAGGACAATCATTTTCGCGTTTATCTGCATGTATACTATGATTATACTACTATAATATATATAGAGAATCTCTATAGATAATAGCAGTGATCGCCGTGGAGAAGAAACTTGAAATTGATAGTTGATAGTACATACACTTTATTTACAATATACGTATGTTCATAGTATACAGAAACGCGAAAAATAATGGAACTCAACAGAAAAAAAAAAAAAAAAAATAACGGACTTTGGAAAAAAGAGAGAGGGTTTAAAAATATTGTCCTGTCTCCAAGTACCTATGATTTTTGATACCTTTTCTGAAATTGTCCAGACATAACAGTGGTGGATCCAGAAATTTTCATAAGGGTTGGCGGGGGAGGGGGAGAGGGGGCACTGACTGCTTAAGAGGGGTCCCGCTCTAGTCATGCATCATTGATTCCCTATATAATCAACAAATTTTTCCCACAAAGGGGGGGGGGGGGGTGGTGAGGGGTCCGAACCCCCTGAAAAACCCTCTAAATCCGCCTCTGCGTGTAATCTTTCACAAAAATTCATCCTACAACAGTTTACATACTTTCAACCAAGCTCTAAATGACCGCGATTTCGCGGGTGTGTTCTAGTAGTTGTTTAAATCCAAATAGCTGTCTCTGATTTTTCAAAGAAATCGACGGATCGCGAAGATAGAGGACCCAAAAATAAACTGTCACCCAAAACAACATTCGCATTACCGTTTGCTCAATATGGAAGCGGAGTAACAGGAGACTTTTTTTGTGCTAGTACAGTTCTAATTTTTATTTCATACGATGCGATTCGGATTATTTGATAAAGTGTATTGCACAGACAGTTTCTTTGTTGGTTTGATATAGAATTTGTTCGGATATCTGTAGCTAATACGTTAAACAGCGAATTTACACTAGAGTTGATACACTAACATGCGGTCTATTTAAAAAAAAATTTGTTGTATTACACCGCAATACATTCCGTGAAGAACGTATCCAAAAGTTTAACACTGACATAAAAAAGCAGAAAATACCAAGGGGACAATAAAAAAACTAATTCGTCAGACAACACAATGACTATATCAAATGTCAAAAAGTCAATAAAAGTCCACAAAACACAACACTTTACTTACTTGGAACACATCCGGGCTCTATTGAGTTAATTGGCATTCTCGTACAACTAACTTCCATTCCATCTTTTGTTGTGGTAACATATTGTTCTCCCTGTTCAAGAAAAACATCAAATGTTTAATTGAATCATTTTTACTCTTATTAGTGAAAATAACGGCTTATTCAACTCCGCTTTTTACTCTTAGACTATTGGAGTTCGAATAGATGATAAAATTGATCATATTTCAGTAAAGACATGACTTTTGCATAGTCACCTATATGACAAACTTATTTTTACGATTTATAATCTTATTTTTAAATGTTCACAACATTATGTTTATAAGTGAAAAGTCGTGTATGGACAAGAATATCTGCGCCCTGCTTTATTAAATATACATGTAGTTGTACAATCAAGCGAGAACCCAGTGTAATTGCCAAAACAGATGTGAATGCTTTAAATTGTTCTTTGGAGTTATATGCTAACGTTTTGAAAGGAATGCAAAAGACAGATTTAATAAGAAAATGCACTGCAATAGAAAGATTGTTTGCATAGTTAATGTTTATGAAATAGTATGACGATATATTTATTCACTTACAGAACCATAATCTTGTAAAATTTTCTGTTCCATACCCTGACCGTCCATCGCAAGTTGTTGTGTTATAAATACCCTCCTCATGTCTGTATCTACAGTAACATTCTGTTCAATCTGCAGATCAAATAATCAGCTATAATTCTTAGATCTATTTGATTGTTAATTAAGAGTTGTCTCTAAAATCATATTTGTATGTCAGGGGGAGAAATACCACTTTTCTATACCATTTGAGATAATTTCTCATATATAGATAAATAGTTCTTAACTTCTAGGTCATTATGTCTGTGGTGAATAATTGTCTCATTAGCAATCATACCACATTTTCTTATTTTCATATATGTCTTAAAAATTCGGGAAATAGAACATTTCAAAAAAAATTAGAAGAAAAAAAGGGTTTTGAATTATTGCCAACCACTTAAATTCAAATTCCAAGTTTTAACCTGCATGGAATAAAGAAGTATCCTGTCTTAGAAAAAAATAAACCTCATCAGAGTTACCTGCACGTACGAACTTGTTTTTGGCTGCATTTAAACATTCAGAGAGCACAACTTTATACATGCTAGTATATAAAATTAAGAAGATGTGGTATGATTGCCAATGATACAACTCTCCACAAGACACCAAATGACATAGAAATTAACAACTTTAGGTCACCGTACAGCCTTCAACAATGAGCAAAACCCATACCGCATAGCCAGCTATAAAAGGCCCCGAAATGACAAATGTAAAACAATTTAAACGAGAAAACTAACGGCCTGATTTATGTACAAAACAATGGACGAAAAACAAATATAATATACAGCAACAAACGACAACCACTGAACTGCAAGCTCCTGACTTGGGACAGGCACATACAGAATGTGGCGGGGTTAAACTAGTTTGAAGGCGCCAACCCTCCCCTTAACCTGGGGCAGTGGTGTATTATGCTTATTTCATTGAAATATTCCAAACTATTAAACCTTTACTTAAAGTCATTAATACAATTTGAATTTTAACTTTGATTTCACTCTCAATAATAATTGTAAATACCTCATATTTGATTTCCAATATAATGTCTCATAAGATATGATTAATAGGGCAAGCTAATATTTCAGAGCTATTTTTTCTGATACCTTTGAAGTTTGAAACAGTGCTACGATATACTTAAATTGTTTGGGGTTGAAATTTTCATAGTAAATGACCAAATAATATCAAATCTATATTTGACGAGGTCGTTTGTGAATTGTAACCTTGTATCAAATGTAGTGACTCGTTATGTTTTTTCTGCTATTACCGAATTTGACATCAGATGAAAACGTATTCCTCTACTGAATGGTACACAAATATTAAATGTATAGCAGCGTTAAAACGTTTAAACCCGCTGCATTTTTATGCACCTGTCCTAAGTCAGAAGCCTGTTGTTCAGTGGTTGTCGTTTGTTGGTGTGGTTCATAAGTGTTTTTCCTGTTTCGTTTTTATATAGATTAGATCGTTGGTTTTCCTGTTTGAATTGTTTTACACCAGTTATTTTGGGGCCCTTTATAGCTTGTTGTTTGGTGTGAGCCAAGGCTCTGTGTTGAAGGCCGTACTTTGACCTACCATTGTTTACTTTTTACATATTGTGACTTTGATGGATAGTTGTTTCATTGGCACTCAAACCACATTTTCTGATTTATATTATATAGTATATTCATTATATTAAAACTATTCCATTTAAGAATTTGTAAAAAGACTTTCAAAGTTAGCTTCTTTATTATACATTTAAACACATGTGTACCTATGAAATATCAAATGATTCCAAACAGTACCGCGTAATGTAATATGGGCCGTCTTGGCTTTACTGAAAGATGCGAACTCTTCCGTTAATGATGGAAGAATTTGAGTTTAGAAATGTGGTCGCCGGGACTTCTCCGATTTGCAATTAGTACCTTATTCCAACAAAAGACATCCGTGTGGCTGTTCTGATTTATAAATAAACAGCCACGTCCGTTAGGAATGGGGATGCAATACGATGCCTTATGAAGGAAGGGTCCGCAAGTTGAAAAATCCTTGAAACTACTGTTCCGGATGTCCGTATGTGACCTGTTTCAAGGCTCTAAAGAATCTTTGCGTGGGCAGTCTTAATTCTCACACTTCGTCCCGGTCGAACCACTTTGGAGATCCTACCTATTGGAGTAATTGTTGACATGTTCTCGCCCTGAATATGTATGAAATAATTGCTACGGGGCAATAATGGCAAAAAACAATAAATCATCAAGTTATTAATATTGTTTCGCTAAATATACATTCATTATTGAGCTTCCAAGTACCATAATCATTCATTCAAACATGATCCGAAAAGATAATGTCGTACTGAAACTGTTTCAAAGATTGGTCGTATACTCCACGTTTACAGGCAAGAAATCTCAATCTTATATGAGAGTTTTTGTTTTAGTTACACCGATACTGTTCATGGTCAACAATAAAGTGTTAATGAACAGGTTACAAATAGAAATAAAATTAAACAAACATGTAATAGATAAGAATAAAAAGTAAATTTTCAATACATGCACTTATTTAAAAGTTTTTCCATATGTTTAGTTACCTCAGTGTAATGTCCCTGCCCCTTGCCATCTGTTGAACCCAGAGCAATATATTCTGTTCCTTCCCATTTACTTGGTGGACAGCAAGACCAGACTAAGGCTGGGAGCACAATCAAAGCTGTGTAACGAAACATATTGTCCGATATAATTAAATTCCTCCACTTGTCAGTGTTATATATACACGAACAGACGGCTGGTTCTTATCACTTATTTGCCATTTGTAAAGTAAGAACATAGCCTTCGTAATGGAAGTAAACCGATAAGATAAAGCAGATCAGTATCAGTTCAATAACCAGAATTTATTTATTGTTAGTATGTTGAAATATTCAGAACTAACCTAAAAAAAGACACATTTACAATGTGAACTTTATCGTGAGTTTTTGACCAGTCGATCAACATTTCCTCGCATTTCTGTACTCTTATAAAGTAATATGTACGACGGAGTGACAAACTTCGAATCTACATGAACATGAATTTTTTCAGAACTTATTAGAATGAAAATGAATTTATATATCTAAAAAAGTATAACAAAAATACCGAACTCCAAGGCAAATTCAAAAAGGGGAAATCAATAAAAACTGATTTGATCAAACGCTATTAATACACAGAACAAGTGAAAAACAACTGACATATTCCTGATTTGGTACAGGCATTTTCCGAAGAAAATGGTGGGTAAAACATAGTTTTATAGCTAGTTAAACCTCCCATTTGTATGACAGTTGTTTATAGTTCCGTTATATTGACAAAATTGGATGAGCAACCCAAACAAACATAATAGGTTAATGTGACCATAATTGAAACCCAGCAGCCAAAGCTGTGTAAACATCCATCACAGACATACAACACAACTGACTAAAAATTTAAAGAAATATACAAATTAATCTGACAAAGACCTCAACAAAAAAGGTGAAGAGAGTAAATTTGACAATGACGTCAACAAAAAAGTTTTTGTCGTTGATTGTATATATACCATATTTGGTATACACTTTCTCGATAAAATTAAGTAAACATAAATACAAGGTTAAACGAAATAACACTGAAAACCCCTTTGTGTCCGAATCGCACACCAGGACCCACCATCACCTGGATTGCCCAAAGTCAAAAAGTAAAAAAACCTGATGGCGGGATGCATAAATACCGAGTCACGTCAAATGTCAAAACTCCGATAGCGGGATGCATAAATACCGAGTCACGTCAAAAGTATTACTACCAAAAGAAACATAATAGCACGAAGACAAATAACGGGGAAACAAAAGTAAATAAAAATATACAGCACATAGATTACAACTCAAGGCCATCTTGTATTATTTGTGAAGTATCTATTAGATCTTGGTACTTTCCGATGAACTTTTTGAGAAAACGGATGAGACGTTTTTTGACAAAAGCCTGGCTCATTGATTTTTTGATCAGACGCCGACGGCGTTTTATAAAGTCTGAGTAGCAACTGCAATTTCTTCGTATGAATGGAGAAATGTATACTCCATATGCGGGTGAAGTTGGCATATTGCTGCTAATGAGAGGAAAATTATAAATTCAAAATTAAAATCATCTCGTGTTATAGATTCAGGTACTGAGATGACTGATGTTGCCAAATTCGAGATAAATGTCTAGAAATGATGCGAAGGAAGCTGTATCTGTGGTATCGTGAATCTCTAGTTCAGGAGGATATATTAATGGGACCCCATCAGAAAAGTTTGGATTGTTAATGGAAAGAACATTATCAATATACCAGTTTGTGAAATTGAATAATCTAGCATCTTGTTTTTTTTTAAAGTGTCTGAAAGAACACTGACGCATATGAAAATAAGAAAAGATCGACCAGGAGAGGTGCACAGTTGGTTCCCATAGGAATGTCGACAACCTACTGAAAAATTCTACCTCCAAATTCAACAAATATGTTGTCAATGAGAAATATAAAAATAAGGAGATGTGATATGAGTGCCAATTAGATAACTAACCACCACCGTACGGCCTTCACCAATGAGAAAAAACCCATACCGTATAATAAAGGCCCCAGTATACTGGCCACTTATTCTTCGGTATAGAATGCTTTTATTTTCGGGCTCATTTTTAACCAAATATGTAGAATTATATCCCAAAACAATAAATTTGTAGGATATGGCACCATTTTTATGGAGGAAAGCATTGCGGATAATTTCTTTAAGACTGTTTTTTTTTTTTATTTTTCATGTGGTATGCTGGTGTGAAAGGAGGAAAAATCGAAGGTTTTGTTAGAATTCATTGCAGAAGTTCTTTTGAATTCTTAAGAATCCACATATGGTTAATGCCACTACGCGAGTAAACAGTGTAACAGTATTTCTGTAATCCCTCTTTCACTGCGGGCAAAAGTTAATCTAACGGACTATTCCTTTGTAGAACATGAAGATGACCCAGTAATTTACTGTTATTTGTACGTAGCATTGTGAAGTTTAGGTATCCAATACAAGCAAAAAGTCAAAAACAAAAATACCGAACTCCAAGGGAAATTCAAAACGGAAAGTGCTTTATAAAATAACAAAATCAAAAGCTCAAACACATCAAACGAATGGAAAACACCTGTCATATTCCTGACTTGGTACAGGCATTTCTACTATATTGGAAGCTAAGTCCTCATATTTGTTGTTCATTGAAATTTTCACGATAAGTTGGTAAAGGGCTGTGTCCTATATTCAAAACTTTTTATCATGACTAAAGAATGAATTAAAATTTTTTTCTAAGTTCACCCTTTGACATAAAAAATAATTGTAAAACGATAAAAACTGAAGAAAATAGATTATGTATCATTTTGTCTAATTGTCTTTACTATCACAAGTTTACTTAAAAAAGATAAAGATGTAAAAAATGCTGTCCTGTTAATTTCATGATTCTTTACAGACGTCAAATTGAATGCATTTGGTATATCACATAAATGAACAGAATAATGATTTTTATTAAGGGGGCACAGAACACTAAAGGGAGCTAACTCTTTGAAATTCAGCTGAACTTTTTAATCACATGATATTAATAAAGAGAAATCAAGCTTCCCAATTATCAAAATTAGAGTGTTTGTTAAAATGCTATATATCCAATGAAATTATTCCTGTTTATAGTGTGTTTCTAATTTCTTGCAATTTTTATATTTTTGTCAACAGGTCAAAGTTAATATTTTGTCAAAATGTAATGAAAATTAAACGGGCCAAATCTAATTTAATGTGTTGGGTATCCCTTCAGATGTATATAAAATGCATACCGGTTTAGGTGTATATCAACTGTACATCTGTAAATAGATATAAGAAGATGTGGTATGAGTGCCAAAGAGATAACTCTCCATCCAAGTAACAATTTGTAAAAGTAAACCATTATAGGTCAAAAGTACGGCCTTCAACACGGAGCCTTGGCTCACACCGAACAGCAAGCTATAAAGGCCCCCAAAAATGACTAGTGTAAAACCATTCAAACAGGAAAACCAACAGTATAATCTATATAAAAAACGAGAAACGAGAAACAATTATGAACCACATCAACAAACGACAAACACTGAACATCTGGTTCCTGAAAGCTATATATAAACTGTAATTTGTGAAAATGTATGTTAACTGTAGATCTATAAAGATGTATATAAACCGTTGATATAAATATTTTCAAATGTACATTATGCATCTTTACAGGTGTACACGATTATAGACATCTTAATAGGTGTACATTCAGTTTATATGTATCTCAATGAATGTACAGTTATATGCATCTCAACAAATGTACAGATCATATACAATGCAAATTCACATGAGATAGGTAACCAATCTACAGAAGAAAAAAAGAATGAACCCTATCTTTTAAAGTATTAACAACACAAAGAACGTCGAAACAGCAACATAATTGCAACCATTGTAAGTGCAATACAGAAAGTTTAACTTGTGTTGAAAGGCTCCATTTTATATATATCAAAATAGAAAGAATGATAATATAAAAATCTGTATCTATAGTATAGGCATATGTGTATACACCTTTGTCGAACACTATTTACTGAATGTATATATTACATTTGAAATGATTTTGCAATTATCGTCGTGATATATACTCTATTATTCAAAGTTTTTTTATATTAAAGATGTCGATAGGTGTTGTTATTGATCAAACAGCAAGGCTTACTTCTTTCAAACTGAGTTTTACTGTGCGTATTGCTGTGTGTTTGTTTATATTACATTGGCTTGAGGTATAGGGGAGGGTTGAGATTTCACAAAACATGTTTAACCTCGCCGCATTTTTGCGCCTTGTTAGTCTTGTATGGTTTTTTGGTTCATTTATATGTTTCGGAGTTTAATGTGACGTCCATTTTCCCTGAACTAGTACACATTTTTGTTTATGGAGCCAGCCGAAGCCCGCCTCTGAATGCGGGATTTTTTCGCTGTGTTGATGACCCATTGTTGGCCTTCTGCTGTTTTCTGCTCTTTGGTCGAGTTGTTGTCTCTTTGACACATTCCACGTTTACTTTCTCAATTTTACTATCAAAACAATAAGTTACGACGGCGGCCTGAATATCAACAGCTAGTTTATTTGGACTGGAATACAGTAAGTACTGTAATACATTATGATATAAAGTTAAAACAATACAATATGGTCGAAATGCGTAGCTGTTTTTCCCCTAGTTGAAATATTCTGAAGATAATTTAAAATTTTAAACGCATTTGATGTCACATCATCAGTATTTTTGGTAGATTAAGAAAATAATCAGAATTTATCTAGAAACTAAATTGGGAAGAGTAATCCTGACTTAAAGCGAAATTATGTCGAATCTGCCATACACACATTTTTCATTTTGGTACCGGATGTGTTCAACTGCAATTGTTAAAAGTGTTCGATGGCATTTGTGCTGTGTCGTATTGTATATATTTTTTTTTCTTTCGTTACATGTATGTTTCCATTGCAGGGCATACAATACATAGTCAAGAAAAGCAAGTTTATGAAAACGAATATTACTACTTTTAAAAGAACAAGGGTGTTTACCCAGTAAGTTGCAAAAGATTGAACATTAAGTTGGTATCAATCGAACAAAAGAAGAAATTAAGACATCGATATCTAATAAATAAAATGAGTAAATGAAAACAAATTAATGTAATTTTTGAAGTACAAAGCCCTTTCTGATTAACATTCATCCTAAATAATGTACGTATAAACAAAACAAAAAGTCAATAGTGATTTGAAATCGAATGCTGTATAGGCAAAT